CGTGTGGGCCTAGGCGCCTGTCTAATTAGTGTTAGGTTTAGTTAGTGTTAATTAACTTAGCTAATTAGATGAGCCACTGACATGTGGGCCTGCCCTGCTAATTACCCTATAATTAGGACTAACAAAAATTAGTTAGTCTAATGAAACTGACACTCGGGACCCACTGGTCAGGTTTGACCCGGACCAGCCCCTGTTGAACTGCTGACGTTTGCATGACCTGATGTTGACGCAGTAATACATTTTCTGGATTTAATTTAATTCAGGAAATTCCAAAAAATGTTTAAAACTTTAAAAATTCATAGAAAATTATCTATAACTCAGAATGAAATAAATTATATATGAAAAATTATCAGAAAAATTCAAGGAATCTGTTTATGTCATTTGCATGCATGTTTGAACAACCTAGGGTTGCTGTACAAGGCAATTTGAATAATTGACATTTAAATAAGCACATATAGAGTTTGAATTTGAACCCTTGGTTCAAACCAACTTCATTTAATATGATTGCTAGTTGCATTAGCTCAATCAAAAGCATATTGCCATGACATTATCATGCATCATAATTGTTGCATTGCATTGATTGTGTTCCTCTTTGTTTGCCGGTAGTTTTCCCCTCTCGATAGACGTGGTTTCGACGATGATTCGATGACACCGATGAAGAGTTGTACTATCTTCAGAAGTGTCAGGAAAGCACAACCCCCTTGTTCATTCCAATACAATCCCACTCTCTCGCTCCTGCTCTCTTTTACAGCATTAGGACAACCACGATTCAACTGCTACATGCTGCGGTAGTTGAACCCCTTTCCTGTGCATGACCTATCATTGCCACAGTAAATAGATGAAACCCACTAGCATGAGTAGGAGTTGTTTGAGCCCTGATGTGACTCCTCATTCATGTTTGTTTGTCATGCCTGCTACTGCTTAGAGTTGAGTCAGGCCTGATTCATCGGGGATGAATCGGATGTGTGTAAACATGTCCTACTATTGAGAGCTAAGTGTGTGAACACGATTTGGTAAATGTAGCGGTGAGAGGCCATGTAGGAGTACATGGTGGGTTGTCTCATTGAAGCCGTCCTCAGGAACTGAGTTCTATGTTTGTGATCCATGAAACAGTTACTACCACGCATTGGGCCCTGAAATATGACCCCGCTTGACTTACTGACCACTCTCGTCCTCTGTCCAGGAGTTGCAACTAGTTTCTAGTGTTTATAGGTTATGTGTTGACGGCCGTGCGTAGCGCTGACCCTAGGGGTGGTCTATGATGCGGTAGATACACCGTGGCCGCTTATGCCGGGCGCCCGTTTGGCGTCTCGGGACCCTGTACACATCGTTTGGGGCCGTTGAGGACATCCCGGCCGGATTTCCTTGCAGATGGAACCCGAATAGGCGATAAACCTGGACTAGAGACTTGTGCGGTTAGTCAGGTCATGGTCTACACCCACGTCGGCTTTCGCTTGAAGTCTGCCGAGCACATGTCGTGTGCCGACGCTAAGTGGTGGAAACATGTGTGACGACGTACACCCCTGCAGGGTATAAAACTATTCGAATAGCCGCGTCCGCGGTAAAGGACTTCTGGGTTACCTATAACAGTTCATAGACAAATGAAAGTGGATACTCTAAAACTCGCAAGATAAGTGTGAGTGCTATGGATGGCCTACTCGTAGGGAGACGAGAGCGGATCCATAGTGGTGGATTGATATGGTGAACATGTGGACTCGTGTGCGCCACCTCAAAAGAGTTGCTTGCAGTCGTAGTTCAGGTTAGCCTCTAAGTCAAACTAGCTTGCTGAGTTTAAACTCCACACCCCCTTGTTGATACCGATGCATATGTAGCTAGTTCTAATGTAAGTCTTGTTGAGTACCTTTGTACTCACGTTTGCTTAATTTATGATTTGCAGAGAGATTTCAGTCTCACTAGTAGTTCCGCGTGGACTTCGACGTTTAGCCTGATACCTCAGCTACGATCTTGTGCCCTCAGCAGGATCTGGTAGATAGTCAGGCTTCTTAGCCTTTTCCATTTGTAGATGTTTGTACTCAGACATGTTAAGCTTCCGCATGTGCTTGAATTGTATGCTATGTTTGTTGGGTCATGAGACCCATGTTTGTAATATCTCGCTCCTCGGAGCCTAATGAATAAATACTTGAGTTGTAGAGTTATGTTGTGATGCCATGTTGTATTTAAACATATCGAGTATATTGTGTGTATGATTGAAATGCTTGGTATGTGTTGGATCCGACAATCCAATGTTTATCCTTGGCAGCCTCTCTTATGGGGAAATGTAGTCTAGTGCTTCCATGAGCCATAGTAGTCCTCTTCAGCCCGGTTCACGGGAGTCCTGTTAGCCCAGCACTACTGCTCAGGACACTTGACTGGGCGGCATGTGTTTCACTTCCTTCCTGTGTCTGTCCCTCGGGGAAATGTCACGTGGTGACATCCGGAGTCCCGCCTAGCCTGCTATAGCCCGGGTTCCCGGAGTCCTGTTAGCCCAGTGCTACAGCCCGGATTCACACGCTGCTGACCGACATGCTCGATGTGATTCATGTATGCCTGTCCCCATAGGTTAGTGCCGCTTTGGGTTCACGACTAGCCATGTCGGCCCGGGTTCTCAGTCATATGGATGCTAGCGACACTATCATATACGTGAGCCAAAAGGCGCAAACGGTCCCGGGCCATGGTAAGGCGACACCCGTGGGAATACCGTGCGTGAGCCCGCAAAGTGATATGAGGTGTTACCGGCTAGATCGATGTGACTTGGAATTGGGGTCCTGACATTGACTTAATCTCACCATGCTTCTTTGCATCCTGTGATCTTCCAATTGTTGTGAATCAAACACCCAGATTGGCAGAAATCCTATGTTTTTAAATTCTTTATTTTGCACGTGCATTCCTATCCTATTCCTGTCTATTTCCTATCCCTGCATTGTTGGAATCCTCCAATTCAAACGAGCCCTTACAGAATTACTTCTCTTACAGATAGTTGTCAAAGAAAACCTTGCGTGGTTTGTCCCGCTCCTGCTGCGCCGTCGTCCACCCCAGCTCAGCTGTTCCAAAGACAGAAGGGTCCAGCACAGTTGGGATCCAGCCTCGGATATTCTTCCCCGCCGCTGGGAGCCATGAAAACTACATTACCATCATCAACCGAGCAGATGACCTCGAGGACTACACGGGTCCGCAAGAGAGGTCGCACTCTTTCGTGTCTGCTTATGTTATGCATCGCTTAATATTACATGCTACTTTATCATCCTGTTCACTGATTAGACTCTGAGTCAGCTCCAAACTAATGGTCAAACTTGAGTTTTAACGAGCAAACATGCCCGTGCATTGCAACGGGAGATAAAAAATATCACATTGTGTCCATCGGATAACAACATATTCCGCTAGCACACGCCAACATACAACATCAATTGGCATCTCGTCAAATCATGCCAAAGCGAACCAAACAGACCATGCAACACAACAAACAGGGGAGCCAATATGCATTCAAAACTCCTCGCATACTCAAAATTTGTTTCCTTTGTATGGGAACTCACCGTGCACTTGTGAATGTAAAAACAAGAGGGAAAACACATGAAACCAATTGCAAGCAACTAAAGTACTTTCATGATTTCGAATAATTCTATGGAAAAACATCGTAGATGAAATCAAAGAAAAATTAATTATCTTTGCCTCTATGGGAATTAGTAGAAAAAAAAATGTAGCACTGCAATAACACACTCCAAGGCAAGTAACAACATTTAAGGTAGTTTATTTCTCCGTAGTACTTGTACTGCTCAAGAAAGAACTCTTTCAAAGACAAAATATGACACGTCAGTACCAAGATTTGTGCTCAAAGACCCAAGCATTCAATTGCAAAGACATAGCATGGATAAATACCTTCACTCTTCCAAGTAGTTCATCATATCTCCGATGTCCTTCTTGCAAAAATCTTTTTCTACAATTGAAAGGACCCTTTACTTATTTCAATGTAAGACTTTATCGCTTCTGATTAAAGCATTGATAATAAAATCTAGAATATCTCCTTATTTGCAAGAATCTAATGCAACTTCAAGAATGTCAAAGATTAAGAAGTACTGTATACGATAGCATGAGGCCAAAGGAATCAAACATAACGTTGCACTGTTGCATGATAAAAATATATCCATTGATTTGTGGAGGTGGCCAACTTGTAAATACATTTGGATAATGAGACGAACAGTCCACTCATGGCCTAGTTATTACCCAGCAAGAGCAGCAACGATTGGCCTAATTTGCCTTGGCCGCCCATATGGGATCTGTAAGTATGGGTTGAGGAGCAACATCAATTAGAAAGAACCAGTATGAACAAATTCGCTGTAATCTCACATGCCTATATAAACAGACCAGACTTGAACTTGAGGACAATTTATTTAAGAACAAAAAATATTGTGTTAGTATTGCTGAGCAGCACATGCACATACATGAAAGTTGCTCCTTGATTTATTCCTATGGTTGGATGCAAATGTAAAAAAAGACAAAGATGCTTGCCGAAGAACAATTCATAGGTACATAGAAAACCCAGATCCGACGAATGTGGCTGGACGTTGGCGAAGACAATTTCGTTCTGTATATCTTCAAACCAAGCAACTCTGTATTCTTATCTTCAAGTAGAAATCTGGCAGTTTTTTCTTTAAGCGTAAACAAAAGAGAGTGTGATGGCAAAGTTGTAGGTTGAGCATCACCAGCATATAAGATTGCATGGCTATTTTATGCAACCATGGTGATGAAATTGACAACTAATTTTCTTAACCACAATATGCAAGAGAACTATAATTGACGAACTCAAGGTTCGTCCTGGTGTGTTGTTAGGTTATGCGGGCATTCGCTAATTCGTGAGTGGCGGCATGGTGAGGGAATTCCCTTAAGCTGAGTGCATGAGGGAAGTATGATAGGGCAGGGTGATCATGTGTTGGTGTTCTATGGCTATGGCTTACTTCATGTCTTGGCTAAGAGGAGAGTTCGTGTCTCTCTGCATCGAAGTGTACTCACGTTCTATTCCATACCTAGTAAAGGAAATATTCAACTTCAGTATGAAGTTATGAACAGAGTGAGATAAGAAAAATAGCAAGCTTTTGTAGAGCGCACAGGTACTTAATGCAAGTTACCATGGCACTTGTGAAGATACTTCCAAGTTACTGAAGTAAATCAAATAAAGTAAATACGATGGCAGAAGATCACATGGAACACACAGAAACAACATCTCCTGTGATGTGTGTGGTTCCTGACATATGAAATGTGCTTCTTTCACAGGTTGTAGCAGGGTTGGTCTCTAACAGAGCAAGTGAACTTACAAAATTGATCCCAACTGAACAATGGGCATACATACAGTGTATAACCAGTAATCAGAATTGATTTCAAATTATCTCTAGGTCTACTCTTTCTATTCAACTATCAGCGGGATTAACTATAGTATATGCAACTATTAAATAAAACTTAGAAATAAAATGTTGCATCAATTGCAATACATGAACAACACATGATCTCCAGAGATAGCATTCAGAATCTAGAAATAGACAAACTTAGATGTGGGTTCATCTATAAATCAAAATAAACCTATCTATATATTGAAATAAAAGAGGAATGATACAAAGATATTTTCACCTATGCCACCTAACTGTCTCTCATTTATCTAGTGTGTTTTCCCTTTAAAGAATTATGCGTCTACTTTGCCTACAACAGCACCTTATATCTGAAATAGAATGGATAAACATACAGTCCCTTCCCAATTAACTAATATTTGCTTCCCAATTAACTAAGATTTGTGAATTTGTACGTTAGAAGGATGATACTAATAATAAGATAATCAGAAATATTGAAGAGTGAATAATAAGAGATCAAGCAGTCTCCCTAGTATTAATACATACTATACACAATGTTTCGACGGTATATGACAAATAATTACATGTGCATAATCTGAAAGACAACCATGCTAGCATATTCATGAGACAGGGAAGACAGGATACGAAATCTGAACCTGCATCACTGTAGTGTTTAGGCTTTGCTTTCCTTTTTATACCATGTCCTTTATTCAGATCTTCCACATGTTCCTCCCTATTTTTCATTTGAATAACTGCCAACATAATCTGTAGCTGATGGTCCATCTTTTCGAGTAGAAATTCAGAATACATATGTGCCTTTGTCAGCAGCTCGTCCAACCTGTAGAATCGTGCCTTGAGATCAAAAAGCTTTTGCCTTGCTGATTCTCTTTTTCTGGCCTTCTCTTCTTCATTTACCTTGACAACGCCTCTTCCTCCTTTGTCATCACCTCTGTATTAAGAGATGGGGAGCGGCAATGCTGGTTTCCTAGATCAGAAAAGGTGAAGCAGCCGGCGTGCGCGACGACAGCCAGCATGGTGGCCTGCGTCGGTGAAGCCCCGGATCACGGCTTTGTGGAGGAACGTGTCTTGGCTCCCGGCGGCGCCGAGGGCCTCCAGCGTGGTGTCCAGGCGGATGGCGGCGGCGTGGGATAGGAGGACCAATGCCCTGCAGCGCTCGATCGTCGTTGTAGAGCTCCCACAGGAGAGGGCGGTAGGGTTGAGCTCCTGTGGAGAGATAGGGAGGCGGGGATGGGCGTAGCCGTACGTGGCGCGGGAGCTCGCCATTGACCAGGAAAATAGTGGCGGCGCCTATCCCTAGTTCGTGAGAGAGATGTGGGTCAGGAGAGGGAGCCAGAGACATGGGATTGGAGGATGGATCCGCAGCGGAGAGCGAGGGTGTGGGGCGACGGTTGGCTATAGCGGGGGCGGGGCGGCGGCTGGCGGTAGCGGGGCGGGGGTGGGGTCCGGCTGTAGAGTCGGTGGCTGCGGTGGCAGATTCGCTCGAGACAAAGGCATAGCCCTCGAGCGCGTACGAAATGTTTTTCCAGATTAATAATTAATATATATATAGGGAGTCTGGGGAAGGGAGCAGGTGCGATCGTTCGATGCACACGACATGGTTCCCCGAATTAGTACCACCTCGCGTATATGTTTTAAATTCAAACTAGAAGCGTAAATTTACAGAAAGAAAGCGTATTGTGACGGTGAACCCACGGAGTCAATCCGTGCTTTATTATTAGGGATAGAAATGGTTGTTGGGTACATATCGGCGCCGCTATCAATAGTATCTATCTACTATCTGGTTCATCCCCGGTGTCTACTATGAGTTTCATGTTGGGTGGGAAACAAACAGTAAAGAAGCCATTATCTGTATTTTTTAACTGAAGCCATTATCTGCCTGCTATTATTGGTTTTGGGTCTATCCACAGGTTGCTACCATCACTCCCGATTTCTGCATGCACTCCTTACATAATATCACTATGTTTTATTCCCATGCATGACAGTTATTTTAAACAATGGAGCTGAACTTGTAGAGAAAAAGAGACGAGCCTTGCGTGGCAATAAAATTTCATGCAGACGTTGCTCCATGGCAGGCGCAAAGGCAGCCCCCCTCCATGCATTTCGGGTTGTAATCGAGAGGAAGATATTTGTTCTGAGGGGGATTTAGAAGGAGAAGACAACTCCTATTTACCCCCTGAGGTCTTCGCTCTAACTTGGCATGCTGATGTTGGTTATATCATGCATATGGTGTCTTGCATTGCTTACTGTATACATCAAATATGTTATCTGCTTAGTTTAGACTTCCTTTGTGCGAATGCCATCTGTTTAGTTTATTCATCGTTTATGTGAATTATGCAATGCCATCTTGTTTAGCCAGGCATCATATATGTGAATTTTGCAATGCCATCCTGCTTAGCCAGTCATCTTATATTTAAATTATATCAGGCCATCCTTTTTTTCATTACATATTACATTTGTCAACAATGTTAGTAAATTCAACTGCTCTTCGTGTGCATCAGCCATTTGACACGGTGATGGCAAATTCTGGAGTGAAAACAAGGTCTTCAGAGCAGACTATGCTATCTGACGAAGCGCATATCTTGCTAGTTACGGATAGCTCCTCAGAGGAGGATTCAGAGACAGATGACCAGTCCTATTCCCCCTCGAGGTGTATGCTCTAACTTGGCAAGGTTATGTTGCTCATATCGTGTGTATGGTGTCTCGCATTGCTATGTCATTTGATTAGTTTAGACATGCTTTGTGTGAATGCCACCTGTTCAGTGTCTAATTACCATACATGTGAATTATGCATTGCCATCTTGTTGCAAGACATTATATATGTGAATTATACAATGCTATCTTGTTGCAAAGGCATTATATATGTGAATTATGCAATGCCATGCTGTTTAGCCAATCATCATGTATGTGAATTATATCATGCTATCATTTTTTTGTATTATGTGTTCCATTTGTCGACAACATTTGTATATTCAACTACTCTTCCTGTGCATCAGCCATTTGAAGCGGTGATGGAAGTATCTAAAGTGAAAACAAGGTATTCAGAGCAGACAATGCTACCTGTTGAAGCAGACACCTTGCTGGTTACAGAGAGCTCCTCAGAGGAGGATTCAGAGACCGATGACCAGTCCTATTTGCCCCCTGAGGTCTATGCTCAAACTTGGCAGGGTTATATTACCCATGTCATGCATGTTTTCTTGCATTGCTTAGTTTTTACATCATATATGGATTGCGATCTTCTTACTTGCTTACTATATAAATCATATATTTGAATTATATCATGCCATCATGTTTACATAGTACATACATATCATCTATCTGAATTATGGCATGGCAACCCATTTAATAAAGACATCGTATAGTTATATCATCTCATCCTCTTTAGTGTTTATAGTCATCATATTTTGAATTATGGCATTCTATCCGTGAATGTATGTGAATTATGGCATGCCAACCTATTTAATAAACACATTATATAGTTATGTCATGTCATCCTGTTTACATAGTCTCATATTTTGAACTATGTCTTTCCATCTTTTTAGTTAGCCATCATAATGTGAAATTGTGTCATGCTATCCTGTTTAGTTAGCCATCATATATGTGAAATTGTGTGATGCTATCCTGTTTGGTTAGACAACATAAATATGAATTATTTCATGCCTTCTTTTATTCCCCACTATCCATTGCACCTATCTATCATAATATGTCTATACTTTCAATTTCTTTTCTTGTTTATCAGCCATTTGAATTGGAGAGCGTGATGGCAGTATCTAAGGGAGTAACAACACGGTCTTCAGAAAAGATAGTGCTACCAGTTGATGCAGATAGAACCACAGTTGTATTTGCCCAAGGACCAGATCCACCACACATAACCCAGACACTCGCAGATTGTACCCCTACCTAGTTGGACAGAGAACCAGCTACACCCCTTCTAACCCCAACCCCGGCGGATAGTAACCCAGTTCCAGTTGACACAACACCGTCTCCACCACAGAGCACCCAAGCACGAGGACCACCACTCTGAATCCCAACTCAACGCTTAAAGGAGAAGAAGATTTGTTCTCAGGTCAGGTTCTGTAGCTATGGTTCATACTCCTTTGCTCCTGCATTACTGTATTTACTCATACCAACTATTTTCAAATTTGAAGGATGGAATTGAAACTCCAATGGCGCAATGGGTATGTTTTAAACCTGTTTCTTTAACTGGTTTGCTGTTGTAACTTGCTCTATGTTGATTTCAGTTTCGATTGAATAAATAGTTATGATCTCATGTCATGCACATAAGTGTTGTTATTGCTCTATAGTTACCCACACTTATATTCTGTCTATTCTGCTTTGTCTTGAACAAATATTATTTGAACTGTGTCTCTATCTTGATTTGGCAACAAAAACTAGAATGATATAGACCATAAAGTGACCATGGTACATAGATATATGTTTGTTTCATGTTGTTATCCTGTCCACTTTACTACTGAACTCATTTACCAAAATGAGTTTCATATACAACATGGTAAACATGTGATGTGTTTGCTTGTTTCTCTTTTAGCATGCGGATAAAATATTGGAGAACAGTACTGTGTTATCCAATGGTAAAGGAAGTAATGTAGATAAGGTTCAAGATAGTGAGACATCCCTGTTGGTCTCCAAGAAAGCTGATAAAAACTATATTGACGATAGTGAGGGAACCCAAAAGTCCTGTCTTGATGTAGTGTTCAAGTTACTGGCCACTACTGCTGGCACAAGCTCTTCGAACTCGCTGCCTGAATCAGTTCATCTTCTTGAGTCTCAACTTCAAGTTGAAAGACATCGATCAGATGTGCTGCGACAGGAAGCTGAAGGACTGAGGAAGTCCCTGCAGAATTCAGATGCATATTTTCTGGTGCAACAGCAAGCGCTGGAGGATTTAAGCGCCAAACAAGAGAAAGTTAATAAGCTTGCTAAGCATCTTGCCAGCATTATGGGTACCCAGGATATTGTTTCTTGAGATCTTATGAAGTGGTTTTAGTTCTGGATTTGTTTTGCTGCGGTGTTTATTTGCGCTGGTCGCCAACTTTGCCAACCAGTGTATATGATATGCTGCTTTGTTCCCTATATTTGCACTGGTGGCGAACTTTGATGCCCAGTGGATGTAATATGTGTAATAGCCGTGATAACCTAGCTTTAGTTGCTTGCTTATTTATTTCCTTGTTGTCTTGTTTATTTGTTTGCTTGTAGTCATTGTAGTTTTTTTTCCGCGGTTAGCTAGTGGCTGCAATAACCTATTTTTTGAAACTAGGCCACAATAACCATGAGCTAATATTTACTGTAGTGACACTGGGCCTCCTACTAGCCGTAGAAACAGTGGGCCTTCTACGGGCCGTAGAAATAATGGGCCTTCTACGGGCCGTAGAAACATTGGGCCTTTTGCGGGCCGTATCATCAATGGGCCTTATATGGGCTGTATGATCGATTGGCCAAACATGGGCCAAACAGACCACATTATGGCCGCAAACAGGCTAGAGTTGGAATCGTCTGTTCATGGGCCGACCATAACAGGCCATCATTAACAGGACGTATTTGATGACACTATGAAAACGGCCCAACGTATTAACGCACCACAAACGGCCGACTGTAACCACGGGCTGAATTTGGCCCACAAGCAGAAAATGACAGTAACGGGCCGTAAGTAAATGAATGCTGGAAATGAGCCCAAGAATAAATGGGCTCTGAGAAGGCCGAAAGATAACATGGGCTGGAAATGGCCCAACGGAATAACGAGCCATTAATGGGTATAAAGTGATACATTGTTCATTACGGGCCAGTTTCACCACGTTCCGTTAATGGGTGTAAAGTGATACACTGTTCATTACGGGCCAGTTTCACCACGGGCCGTTAATAGGCCAAGAGTTACATAGGGCCTCATATGGGTAGAAAGACGTCATGGGCCATACATGCGCCAGAAGTGAAAACGAGCTGGAATCATATTGGATGGCCCGGATGACGCTACTGGGCCTAATTCGGATAGGGCGTAACGGGC